GACTCACCCCGGCAAAAGTATAGGCTATAGAAAGAGTAGCCGCAAGGAGGACGCACCTGCATATTTCCTTCTTCTCCTGCTGCTGCTCCCTCAAGAAGCTAATTGACCAAGCAAGAAACTTGGATGCCAAGAGAGTCATTCCACGGGCGCTTTACGAATCTGGCGAAACGAGAACCCCAGCCAGCAAAAGAAAAAGGAAAGAATCAATGAATGACTAGCTCAAAACATTGGCATTCACAACAACATACAAGTGAGTGCTCGATAATTTAGCCTGGAAAAAATCAATCGAATGCTCTGCCAGGAGGGCAATTTACCATATGGAGATCCCAGAGGAATTAATGAAATAATTAATCACTACATCCATGTACTCATATACGATGTTACCTTTTGGTAAGGAACACCTCCCCCTTTCATGTGGTAGTTTGAAGTTTGAACAACATGCCTGGTCTATGTAATACTGTATTATTCAGGCATCTCCCTTTCATCAGCCAGTCAACCACGCACCCAGACCCAGTGCACATGCCTGGTCTATGAAATTCTGTTTACATCAAAAATTAGCTCGGACACAAGCTAATTACTGGATACAAGTGCTCAGCAATAATTTGGCAAAAGAATAAGACAAGTTGCAGCATTTGTCACGGTTCCGTTCGGCGACGCAAAAGAACACGCGCGCCGACGTGGACAGTCAGCATGATCATTGGCAACGTAGCCTTGTCAGTTTCCCCAAACAGACAGCGGTAGCCATCCATCACACATATATTTGGCACCTACTCCCTCCGTTTGGAATTACTTGTCTCGGAAATGGATGTATTTAGATGTATACATCCATTTCAGAGACAAGTAATTCCAAACAGAGGAAGAGGAAGTACATAGTATATACTTTTTCAGTTTCACGACGTCGACCCGTCTTGGTCCGTGCGCGTGACCTAGCTAGCGTGGAATGGAATTCCAGCACGCGGCAGCCAACGCGGACTAACGGTGGAGTGGAAATTGATAAACAAAAGGCATAGTAATACTGTATGTATAGTATGCACGCATCAACCCCAGCACAAGTAGACAGACACAAGAGAAAAATGGCAAGTGGTAGTAGAAGAAGCAGTAGGCCGCAAGGAGGAAGATATGGACACAGCACAGCACCTGCATTTCGGCTCGGTGTGCCTCCACCAATCCACCATCCATCCTTCCACTCCATTTTCTGCTTCTTTGGAGAAACCGGACTAGTTTCCAGCAAACTTGCGGCCCGCGACTCTCTGTCATCTTCCCCGCGGCCGCCGAAAAAGTTGCACAACCCCGGACGAAGAAAACAAACTTGGATGCCAATCAAGGACGCAGAATATGGGACACACCGCTCGCTTAATGATGAATTCCGCGGTCCATCTGAAACGAATCCAGAAAAAAAATACCGCAGCAATATTCCGTAGGTGATTCGGATGCAAAATGCTAGTTAATTATCAAAGAACCAATATATTTTGATGCAAAATGTTAGGTGTGATTTCTTATTCCTTCATAAAAGGAAGAAACACCTCAATCTGTGAATCCCACCCACCCCACACTCCAATCCATCCCGCCTATAAAAAACCCACTCATCCCCAAACCCCATTTCATTCAACACACACACCTGTTCCACATCAGGAACAGAGAGGAAACAGAGCCCCCAACCCACCCCACCCTTACCCAGAAAAGAACAAACATACAAGAGAGGAGGAGCACCAGGGAGCCATGGCGCCGTCCTACGACAAGACCATCGCCACGGCAGCCTCCCTCGCGGCATCCCTGATGCTCGTCCGCAGCCTCGCGAACGAGCTGCTGCCGTCCGAGGTGCGCGACGCGCTGTCCTCGGCCCTCGCCAGCCTCCGCTCGCGCATGACGTGGCGGCACACCATCGTCATCAAGGAGATCGAGGGCTGGTGCAGAAACTGTGTCTACGATGCCGTCGAGGCCTACCTTGCCACGCGCATCAACGCCAACCTCAACATGGAGCGACTGCGCGTCAGCAGCGCCGGCGCATCTGAGAAGATGGTCGTCGGCATGGAGGCAGGCGAGGAGATGCCAGATGTGTATCAAGGAGCGGAGTTCAAGTGGTGCCTGGTCACTCGCGAGGTCAGGGCCGACACGGACAGCGTTGGCGACGGGGCCCACGAGGTCAGGTCCTATGAGGTGAGCTTCCACAAGAGGCACAAGGAGAAGGCCCTCAAGGAGTACCTGCCCTTCATCGTCGCCGCCGCCAAGGCCATCAACGACCAGGAGCGGAGCCTCGACATCTACATGAACGAGCACGGCAACGAGTGGTCCTCCATCGTCCTCCACCACCCCTCCACCTTCGACACGCTCGCCATGGACATGACGCAGAAGCGGGCCATTGTTGATGACCTCGACAGGTTCATCAAGAGAAAGGACTACTACAGGAGGATCGGCAAGGCGTGGAAGCGCGGGTACCTCCTATATGGCCCTCCGGGTACCGGCAAGTCCAGCCTCATCGCCGCCATCGCCAACCACCTCAGGTTCGACATCTACGACCTCGAGCTCACCGGGGTCGACTCCAACTCCGACCTCAGGAAGCTTCTCGTCGGGATGACCAACCGGTCCATTCTCGTAGTTGAGGACATTGACTGCACCATCGAGCTAAAGCAGCGGGAGGAAGACGATGAGGAGCACTCCAAGTCCAACTCTGCAGCAAAGAAGAAGGCAGAAGACAAGGTAACATTGTCTGGGCTGCTCAATTTTGTTGATGGCTTGTGGTCGACGAGCGGGGAGGAAAGGATCATCATCTTCACAACCAACTACAAGGAGCGTCTCGACCCGGCACTCCTGCGGCCTGGCAGGATGGACATGCACATACACATGGGGTACTGCACCATGGAGGCCTTCAAAATACTTGCCAACAACTACCATTCCGTCGACTACCATGCCACCTATCCAGAGATCGAGTCGCTGATCCAGGAGGTGATGGTGACGCCTGCGGAGGTCGCGGAGGTTCTGATGAGGAACGACGACACTGATGTTGCCCTCCATGATCTTGTCAAGCTCCTAGAGTTTAAGAAGAAAGAGGCCACTGAGATCAAGACTGAAAGTAAGCAGGCAGAGGAGATGAAAGACGGCACTGAGAAGATCAAGACTGAAAGTAAGCAGGCGGAAGAGAAGAAAGATGGCGATGAGATCAAGACTGAAAGTGTGCAGGTAGAGGAAGATAACAAAGAAGTGGTGGTGAAGAATGAGTTGACAGAAAACGGAAGCGGCTAGGAGTGCGGAAACTGATTGTGACAAGAGACTGAGCATAGTACTACGTAGATAGGTCCTACAGGAGATACATATGTTGTGATCATTTTGACAACTAACAACATCGCATTTTTTGGATTTGTTCGGCGCACTTGTATTTACCTTAAACACAGTGTGCTTCTAAATAATTGTGCAAGTGCTGTTACATATATGCAAATTTGACATCTTGCATAAGATATTGGCCAACAGAGCCATGATGAACAAACGAGGCATGTGGGTTGTGGCCCATACTTGTCCACCAGAACAGAACAATCTTCATCTTCACAAAACAAGATGATGCTACTCACAAGGAATGATCGACACTCTACTTAATTAGCCAGATAGATAAGGTAGTATGAGTCGTAGTAATCTCATGATTCTCATCACTTGTCCCAAGAGGATACGAGTAGCCAGCCACTGGAGTCAGGAAGCATATATAGTTGCGACGACATCACCTCGGTCCTCGACGTACGTCGACCGGTCTTTGGTCGTCAGAGCAAGCCGTGCGTGGAATTCCAGCATGCACGCGTAACTGAATGACCGTGGAATGAAGCTTGACAAAACTAAAGGTGCGCGTAATGTACATAATACTATACCACGGTAGACGCACCAACTCACCCCAGCACAAGTGGCAGTAGAGGCGGCTAGCTAGAGAAAGAGTAGGCCGCAAGGAGGACGCACCTGCATGCATGTTTTCTTCTTTGTGCTGCTGCTGCTGCTGCTTCTCTCGAGAAGACAAGTGACCAAGAGGAAGAAGCTTGGATGCCAAGAAAGCAAAGCAGCTCTCCATTCCACGGGCGCTTTTGCGAATCTGGCGAAAACGGAACCCCAACCAGCCAGCAGCACTTGTACTTGGGAAAAGAAAAAGAAGAGAATCAATGAATGACTAGCTCAAAACATTTACATTCACAGGATGCAAGCTAATTTAGCCAGGAATCAATCAATCGAATGCTCTGCCAGGAGGACAAATAAGTAATAATGAATGAAATAATTAATCACCACATCTATGTATGTATGTATGTATGTATGCAAGTTGTGTAGCAATGTGATGTTACCTTTTGCTTTTGGTAAGGTTGAACAACATGCCTGGTCTATGCATTATTCAGACATCTTCCTTTCGTCAGCCAGTCAACCACGCACCCAGTGCACAACACCAATTTGGCCATCTACCTGGAACGAGTCCACAGAAAATAAAATTATTTTAAAAATTAGCTCGGATACATGCTAATTACTCCCTCTATACAGAAATATAAAAGCGTTTAGATCAAGTGATCAGTAGTAATTTAGCAAAACAACATGTTATAACTGCCAACTACAGACAAATTCCAGAAGATTTATGTACTACGTGTGTAAGCAAGTTGCCAAGTAATGCCAATGTGATGCTACAGTTTACTAAGTAGGGCCACATGATGCCACCATTTTGCTAATTAAGTAAGGCCATGTGATGCCTACCTTTTCGCTAAGCAAGGCCTCAATGGTGAAGACCAAGCTAAATCTCTTGTTCAGACCTCTTCCTTCCACACCAAGACATCACTCAGTCGGTTCACCACCCACCCTATAAAAAGCTTACCCCCAGCTCCCCACCCAATTCAACACACGCCATTATTTCCTCGCACCCCTGTTCCACATCAGGAACAGAGAGGAGGAAAACAGGAACTGAGAGGAGGAAGACTGCCCCCAACCAAACCAAGCACTCCATCCATCCCCTCCACACACATACACACAAAAAAGGGTACAAGAAGGCCATGGCGCCGTCGTACAACAAGACCATCGCCACCGCGGCCTCGCTGGCGGCGTCCCTGATGCTCGTCCGCAGTCTCGCGAACGAGCTGCTGCCGTCCGAGGTGCGCGACGCGCTGTCCTCAGCCCTCGCCAGCCTCCGCTCACGCATGACGTGGCAGCACACCATCGTCATCGAGGAGACCGAGGGCTGGTCCAGCAACCGCGTCTACAACGCCGTCAAGGCCTACCTGGCCACGCGCATCAACACCAACATCAACATGCAGCGCCTGCGCGTCAGCAGCGCTGACGAACCCGAGAAGATGGTCGTAAGCATGGAGGCGGGCGAAGAGATGACAGATGTGTATCAAGGAGCGGAGTTCAAGTGGTGCCTGGTCACCCGCGAGGTCAGTGGCGACCTGAACAACGGCGATGGCGGGGCCCGGGAGATCAGGTCCTATGAACTGAGCTTCAACAAGAGGCACAAGGAGAAGGCCCTGAAAGAGTATCTCCCGTTCATCGCCGCCACGGCCAAGGCCATCAAGGACCAGGAGAGGAGCCTCAGCATCTACATGAATGAACGCTACGACGAGTGGTCCCCGATTGACCTCCAACATCCCTCCACGTTTGACACGCTAGCCATGGACCAGAAGCAGAAGCAGTCAATTGTCGATGACCTCGACAGGTTCATCAAGAGGAAAGAGTACTACAGGAAGATCGGCAAGGCGTGGAAGCGTGGGTACCTGTTGTACGGCCCGCCGGGCACCGGCAAGTCCAGCCTCATCGCCGCCATTGCCAACCACCTCAGGTTTGACATTTACGACCTCGAGCTGACCGGGGTCAATTCCAACTCGGACCTCAGGAGGCTTCTTGTCGGGATGACCAACCGGTCCATTCTCGTGGTTGAGGACATCGACTGCACCATTGAACTGGAGCAGCGGGAGGAAGATGACGAGGAGGATTCCAAATCCAATTCTACAGAAAAGAAGGCACAAGACAAGGTAAACTTTGCAGTCAGAGTGAACACCTTATGAGTATATATAAACCTGTCTGCTTCTCCTTATTATTCGACAGCTTTCTTTCTTACCATATGCTGATGACAATTTTGGTTGTTGTCTGCACAGGTTACATTGTCTGGGCTGCTCAATTTTGTAGACGGCTTGTGGTCGACAAGTGGGGAGGAAAGGATCCTCATCTTCACAACCAATTACAAGGAGCGTCTCGACCCAGCACTTCTGCGGCCTGGCAGGATGGACATGCACATCCACATGGGGTACTGCACCACAGAGGCCTTCCAGATCCTTGCCAATAACTACCATTCCATTGACTACCATGTCACCTATCCTGAGATCGAGGCGTTGATCGAGGAGGTCACGGTGACGCCTGCAGAGGTCGCCGAGGTTCTGATGAGGAGCGATGACACTGATGTTGCCCTCCATGATCTTGTCAAGCTCCTAGAGTTTAAGAAGAAAGAGGCCACTGAGATCAAGACTGGAAGTAAGCAGGCGGAAGAGAAGAAAGATGGTGATGAGATCAAGACTGGAAGTAAGCAGGCAGAAGAGAAGAAAGACGCCAATGAGATCAAGACAGAGAGTATGGAGGTGGACGGTGGCGATGAGATCAAGGCTGAAAGTGTGCAGGTAGAGGAAAAGAAAGATGACAAAGAAGCGGTGGTGAAGAATGAGTTCACAGAAAATGGAAGCGGCTAGGAGCGCGGAAGCTGACGGTGACCAGCGACTACGCGTACCCTGTACATAGGTCCTAAAGGAGACCCAATTGTAAGGTATGTTGATCATTTTGACAACTATATAATAGGAATAGTGAGGCGCACCTGTGCATGAGACAGTGTGCCTCTAAATAATTTTGTAAGTGCTGTTGCAGAAAGTTACATATATGCACCTTAACATCTTGCATAAGATATTGCCCAACAGAGCTATGCGACTCTACACACAGGTGCAGAGATTGTGGAGAATACAGGCGCAGAGATTACAGAGAGAACAAGCCAGGATAAAATTTGAGATCGCTATAACTGATATGCTAGAGTAAACAAAGAACACCGTTGCATATACCCAAATAGTTGGTAGTGCTTAGCTAGAGATTGGCTGCAGGATGGATAAACCCAACGATGTTCTTGATGACATGCAGAATATTACTTCCTCCGTCCCATAATGTAAGAGTGTTAAAACGTTCTTATATTATGGACCTGAGCTGTGTAGTGGATGGAGCAGAGTAATCTGAGCAAAAAGGAAGCATTCTCTCGGAATATACTAACTGACTGACGTTGACGACGATCCATCAGGTGACGCAAAAAGAAAAAAACACGTGCACCAACCTGGGCCGTCTACACGATACTACCGTAATGTCATCATCAATCACTTTCTCCACAGACACCAGTAGCCATCCATCCAGCCAGCCACTGTAGTCATCGATTTGGCACCTATTGTTTCAGTCGCACGACGTGCGCGTGAGCTGGCGTGGAACGGAAAGTAATGACAAACAAAAGCGTAATAGCACGGAGTGGAAAGTAATGGCAAGCAAAATCATGGCACCATATCGAGAATGGACAGCACAGGAAACGGTACACACAAGAGAAAATGACAGGTAGTAGTAGAAGGAGTAGGCGGCAAGGATGATATGCACAGCACCTGCATTTTCTGTTGTGTGGTGTCCACGTCCACCTTCCTTCCAGGAAACTTTACGGGGAAAACTGAATATTACTTTCCAGGAAACCTGCGCCGCACAAGTATCTCCGTATTTTCTTCCCGGGCGAAAAAGTGCGATCCCAACGGAAGAAAGGAACTTGGATGCCAAGGAAGCAGAGTTCATGGCGCACGCCGCTCACTTTACGACTTCCGCGGTCCATCTGAAAAGAATCCACGGAAAAATACTAGTACATTTAGTAGGTTATTCAGATGCAAAATGCATATCCATTAGGAAATGATCAGTAGTTGATGGCTCAGAATATACACTACTACTACACTCCGAATGGTAAGTGCCAGTTTTCAGACTGCATCAACAATCTACCTTATGCACAGAAGGGGAATTAATTAATGCTGAAGGAAGCTACTCGGTTGCTTAGTGATGTGATGCTACCAATACCTTTTCCAGCAATCACGCGGACGGCATCCAACGCGCAGTAGCAGAAATAGGCAGCAAGTATGATACATGCACACAGCAACTGAATTTCCGGGTGTTTCTACCTCAGCAAGTTTACGATCATTCAGATGCAAATGCTCATTAACTAGCAAAGAAATAAGAAAACAATCAAAAAGAGCAAAGAATCAATTGATGCTTCCAAATACATACTGCTCCTATACTCCCCAGAACACCACATGGTTAGTAGGTAACGGTAATTACAGGCTGCATGATTAATCTGCTGTAAGTAGGAGATTGATTCCCTTGCAGGGGGATTAATTACTGTGCAATGAAGCTAGTTGCTGATTAGTCATGTGACCTCTCTCTCTCTCTCTCTCTCTCTCTCTCTCTCTCTCTCTGCCAAGTCCATTAATTATTCACACCTCTTCCTTTCAGAGGAAGACGCCACACACACCTCTGCCAAGTCGGTCAGTCAACCCCACCCACCCCACACTCCAATCCAATCCATCGCCTATAAAAACCACCACTCATCCCCCCAGATCCCCATCTCATTCAACACACTCTTCCACATCAAGAACACACAGAACCAGAGCCCCAAACCCACCCATCCACCCACCCACCCCCACACAACAAAAAAGCAGAGCATCAAGGGAGCTTCAAGAGCCATGGCACCGTCCTACGACAAGACCATCGCCACGGCGGCCTCGCTGGCGGCCTCCCTGATGCTCGTCCGCAGCCTGGCGAGCGAGCTGCTGCCGTCCGAGGTACGCGACGCGCTCTCCGCAGCCCTCAACAGCCTGCGCTCCCGCATGACGTGGCAGCACACCATCGTCATCGAGGAGACGGAGGGGTGGTCCGGCAACCGCGTCTACGGCGCCGTCAAGGCCTACCTCGCCACCCGCATCAACGCCAACATCAACATGCAGCGCCTCCGCGTCAGCAGCATCGAGGAGGACGCCAAGAAGATGGTCGTTAGCATGGAGGCGGGGGAGGAGATGGTGGATTTGTACGAGGGAGTGGAGTTCAGGTGGTTCCTGGTGACCCGGGAGGTGAAGGGGGACCCGAACAACGGCGGCGGCGGGGCACGGGAGATCAGGTCGTACGAGGTGCGCTTCCACAAGAGGCAAAAGGAGAAGGCCCTGAAAGAGTACCTCCCGTTCATCGTCGCCACAGCCAAGGCCATCAAGGACCAGGAGAGGAGCCTCAGCATCTACATGAACGAGTACGGCGACGAGTGGTCCCCCATCGACCTCCAGCACCCCTCCACGTTCGACACCCTCGCCATGGACCAGAAGCAGAAACAGTCAATTGTGGACGACCTCGACCGGTTCATCAAGAGGAAGGACTACTACAGGAGGATTGGCAAGGCGTGGAAGCGCGGGTACCTGCTGTACGGCCCGCCGGGCACCGGCAAGTCCAGCCTCATCGCCGCCATCGCCAACCACCTCAGGTTCAACATTTACGACCTCGAGCTCACCGGGGTCGACTCCAACTCCGACCTCAGGAGGCTTCTCGTCGGGATGACCAACCGGTCCATTCTCGTGGTCGAGGACATCGACTGCACCATCGAACTGAAGCAGCGCGAGGAAGATGACAAGGAGCATGCCAAGTCCAATTCTACAGAAAAGAAGAAGGCAGAAGACAAGGTAAAACTTTGATGTCAGAATGAATACCTTATATGCATACATAAACGTCTCTGCTTCTCCTCAATTTTCAACAGCTTTCTTTCTTACCTATGCTGATGACAATTTTGTGGCTGCCTGCACACACAGGTCACATTGTCTGGGCTGCTCAATTTTATTGATGGCTTGTGGTCAACAAGTGGGGAGGAAAGGGTCATCATCTTCACCACCAACTACAAGGAGCGTCTCGACCCAGCACTCCTGCGGCCTGGCAGGATGGACATGCACATCCACATGGGGTACTGCACAACAGAGGCATTCCGGATCCTTGCCAATAACTACCATTCCATTGACTACCATGTCACCTATCCGGAGATCGAGGCGCTGATCGAGGAGGTGACGGTGACGCCTGCAGAGGTCGCCGAGGTTCTGATGAGGAACGACAACACTGATGTTGCGCTCCATGATCTTGTCGAGCTCCTAAAGTTAAAGAAGAAAGATGCCACTGAGATCGAGACTGAAAGTAAGCAGGCAGAGGAGAAGAAAGACGCCAATGAGATCAAGACCCAGAGTATGCAGGTGGACGAGAAGAAAATTGTTGATGAGATCAAGACTGAAAGTGTGCAGGTGGAGAAGAAGGATGACAAAAAGGTGGTGGTGAAGAGTGAATTCACAGAAAACGAAAGCGGCTAGGAGTGCGGAAGCTGATGGAGACCAGAGAGTGTGCGTACCCTGTAGATAGGTCCTACAGGATCCATTGGAACATCTGTCAGATCATTTTGACAACTAAAAACATTCCCTTTTTTTAGTAGTTCGACGCACCTGTACTTAACAGTGTGCTTCTAAATAACTTTGTAAGGACTGTTGCAACAAGTTACATATATGCAACTTGACATCTTGCCTTGTCACCCTACACACAGCCACCCCTCAGACACAAGCAGAGGCTGCATAGTTACCTGCTGCTAGTGACCATGAGATGATGGAGAGAACAAGCCAGGATAAAATTTGGGACTAGAATTAATATGCCAGACCCAACTACTCCCTCTGTCCCAATATTCTTGTCTTAGATTTGTCTAAATACGGATGTATCAAGTTACGTTTTAGTGTTAGATACATCCGTATCTAGACAAATCCAAGACAAGAATTTTGGGACGGAAGGAGTAGTTAGTAGTGCTTAGCAAAGATTGGTTGCAGGATGGATACACCCAATAATGTTCTTGATGACTGCAGAAAATTAGCATATAGTGCCCTTGCATTATCCCCCAGCTATGAAGTGAATAGAGCAGAGTAATATGACATTATATATAAAGATAACTTACATGTCAATAGATAAACAGCTGAGTTACAAAAGATGCCAGATTAGATCATAAGCTGCCAATACAAAAGTATAGCTTATAAGCTGCAACTAGTCAAACAAGATTAGATCTTCATAATTCTGAGAAAAGATGGGCGGTGATACCAGAAACCAAGACAAGTTGCAGCATTTGAGCTAAGTCGGCCGAGTGTAGTGTTATTTGTCTCCATTCTTAAGACAAGATCCTTCCAAGTATCCCCTGAACAAAACATCAGGAAGATAGTATTAACCACAGGGAGGGGACACCTCTTGTGGAACAAAATTTAAAGATGAACTTCAAGATAATGAAACATGCAGTTACATATAGAAAGATGAACCGGCAAAATTACCCTTCGGAAATTGGCGACATAATTAAGCGCCCAGCGGAGCACAAGTAGTGCAGCAACAACTACAAAAAGGGAAACCAGAGCTTGTATGTAAAGATATAAAAGCAGCAAAAGGGCATACAAAAGAGAAACTGCAAGAGATCAGAATCGTAAAGGAAACATTAAGCGGATAAAATCCGATGGTTCAAGGTACAGACTGGAACCAGCCCTGAATCGTTTACAGGTATGGTCCATGCTGTTGATTTCTTTATGAAGAACAGAGAATTAGATCGGTGTCATCAGGAAATGAAATGCAAGCGAAAAAAGATGAACGGGCAACAGAAAAAATAAATAGAAAGAATTCTCATGCCATTTCAACTTTGAAAGATGGCCAGTACAGAATGATCTTATACATCAGGAAGAGGCAAAGAGATATGCCATGTCCAGTTGTCCACAAGGAGCAACATGCTCATAGAAATAAAAGAAGAAATAAATTTGCTCTGCTTTCTAGAAAAAATCATGCCATCTACAATACAACACTCTGTTAATATCTACTCTTGTCAGCGCCATTGCTTCGCAATCTCCTCATCAAGCATATGGGTGGCCTGCTGCCTGGACCTATCATCCAGATTGGTATTGCTTGCCAGTAAACTTCGTAGGGCTCGCAGTTCATCCGGGCTAGCTCTCTGGAAGAGCCCCCTCAGGACAATACTTGGTGGATTCTGAGGTAGGGTATGTTGATTACCAGTGGCAGCATGAGGCCTGTATCTCCAGTACTCTGTACAGATGTGATCTCTATCCCGGGCCTCAATTGCCTGTAAAGGATTAGAAAATAAGTTTACTGCAAAAATACCAGTGACCTATGGCTCCAACAAACTAAGATAACTGGAAAAATATTTAGCAGTGAATGCGAGTGGAACCACCAAGTGCCAATCGTTCATGCAATTAAGCAATCGTGAAAACTTAGCACCTGAATTGGGTTTATAGTTTTGACCATTAACTGCAAACTTTTGGATTATCATAGAAGAGCCTGACATATCACCTACACTGTTTGCTAAGACATTCGTTTTTACGCAGAACTGTAGGGGAGGGCCTGGTAGGATTGTTTTATTAATAATAAAAGATCATTTTTATAAGAATATGTAAAAAAAATTAAGGGATTAGCAAGTACAAGGTCAAGCCCCAAAGGAAGACACTACTGACAGGATTAGTGTTGGACTCATCCCTAATTATATGTGACTGCAGGAGCAAGCCTTTCTTAAATCCGGTCTACCAGGATAGGAAGCTGGGGATAACATTTTCAAAATAATGGTATTGGTCCCGAAATTAGTCAAGTGAATGCCAAGCACCAATGTCTCACCCGAACTATTTCTGGTGATAAGAGCCCAAACATTTCAAGACCATCGATAGATCCTGGAGGCTGCAGAGTAGGAACGTTAGGCCTTCCCATACTGAGTTGCCTCCGTATTTCCATGTTCAGCCTCTCTCTGACCATGTTCCAGCACTTGGTAGGCGACTCATTAATGAAAACTTCACCTGGGCAGTTCTCTACAGTAACCTGAAAATGCATCAAGTAGTAAGATATCAACGATGCTGAAGAAGAGGTACATAGTACTTCCTCCGTCTCAGTTTACAAGTCCTACGCGTATACCTAGGTTGCCAATTTTATCACCCTAATATAAACTATATAACACAAAAACTATACCTTTTGAAAATAGAACATCTGAAGTTTATTTTGATATATTTTTTGCAATATATGACTTGTATTAGGTTGGTCAAATTGACGACCTAGGGGTACGCGCACGCCCTGTAAACTGAGAGAGAGGGAGTATAGTAGGAACAGAACTGGAATTTACCATAAATAGAGGTCCTTGCAACCCAGCGTCTAATATTTCGGAAAAGTAGTATGCCATTTGAATTGGATCCACGATGCTCCAGTATTTTACTCTGCTCCTAAATCCTGCATTTACAAAGAGATGGCATGTTAACAAAAAGCACCAAAACAGATGAAACTGCCTAAGAAAGAAATCATATACGAAGAAATAATATGGATAATCCATAACATTAATGGGTAAAGGCAGTAGTATATTCAAGAATAATAATAGAAATCCTCCAGTATCGGCCAAAACTGAAAGAAGTATCAAACTATTAGCCAACGAACCTTTGGGGAAGATTGCTTGGCCTGAAGACCACATTCTCCCTGATAACACAGTACCAATTTCCAGAGGTTCAACAGAGCATTTGAATCGATGCACGACATTTGCTATGCGAGGACCCCTCTGTGGACCTCCATTCCTGTTATGCATTTCCAGAGCAGGGTGTGCTATGGCGGGTGGATGGGCATGTTGTGCTACGGCAGATGGATGGGCATGTTGTGGTGCAACAGATGGATGGGCATGTTGTGGTGAGACAGATGGATGGGCATGTTGTGGTGCGATAGATGGATGGGCATGTTGTGCTGCGACAGATGGATGCCCCCTGGCTCTAACCTCTACAGCAGATTGAGATTCAGGTTTTCTTTGAAACCATCCATTGTTTGGTTGCTGATTGAAAGTTAAATTTCCATGATGGGCACTGGCAGAAGGAAAACTTCCGTGTGAATTTTTAACACTAGAAGGGTCTATGGGAACAAAGACACTGCTTGATGCTTCCTGTGACACACTTTGTGTCCGTGAAACAATTTGGTCAAACTGCTGACTCAACACACTACGGACCTGGCTGTTGCCTTTCTCAAGCATTATTGTGGCATTAGTCTCTGGTGTTATAAGTGCATGATCCTTGTCCGAGTGACAGAGAGTTGCATTGGAGTTTGATGCAATCAATCTGTGAGAGGTGTTTGAGCTATCTAAACTGGCCTTTATGTTGGCTCCGTCATGAATCATAGTAGGTGACCTGTTATGATGATCAACAAGTGATGATCTATATTCTCCAGCTTGCAAAGAAGATTCTCTACTCGCCTTCAGTACTGCCAAGCCATGCACACTTTTCGTGGATTCACTTGAAGTATTGAAGGGTCTTGTCACAACATTCGAAGAAAATGATTGGCTGGAAGAAACTGGTAAGACGGGTGCAGAGCTTTTCTGGTCTCCAAGCCCTCCTCCATTATATTGCAATCTGTTGGTGTCATTGTTTGTTGGGCAGGATTCCTCATCCTTCACAGACGGCTGCTTTGATGGTGAAACATTTCCCAATTTCATCTGCTCTACAGAAGGGCAGGCATTGTTAGCCTCTGGACTAGCTAAGCCCGGCATCTTATTTCCTTTATCTTTCTGTTCGTTGCAAACAAGGGAAGGTACCAAGGATACAGTTGACGCCTGTGACATGTAGGACCTTCTTGGGCCATCAGTTAATCTGCGAACAATCTTGGAATCCTGGGCCTTTTCTCTTTTGACACATGAACTCAAACTTAAGCCAAGATCAGAGACACCCCATCTATGAACAGCACTCAACTTGCCCCCCAAAGCATCAGCCAAGATATTAAGCTCATTGACATCATAGCGGAATAGGAAGAATCTTTTGTCCCAGTCACATGAGCAAAGTTGCTTTGCGTGTAACAGGCAAGCATATTTCTCTGGGCAGCATGGACAGCCAGCAGCAGAAAGATGCAAATCATAGTAGCAAAAAGCACACTCCCTATCAGTGGAATCAAACTCGGCATCCATTTTCCTAGATTGAGATGGGGAACATAGATTTTGCCTTTGTGCCAACTCCGTCTCGATTCGTGCCTAGACAGAGAAGTTGTAAAAATATAAGATTCCATCGAGTTTAACCAAACTATAAATTATTATTTTCACCGTCATTTACCTTAAGTGATTTGCATATAGTGCTATCAGGTCCACATGCACTTTTCCATCTCAAATTATCAGCAGTATTCCTCTTGAGGAATAGGATATCCCACTGAGCTCTGATTGCTTCTCTTGCAGCCCCCAATAACAGCTTATCATGGGAAACAGTTATTTTCCGAGATTGTTCACGATAAAGCTCTACAGCATTCTGTCCAACTGGCAACCAATCAATAGGTGCCACATTAACAGCTTCTGCACAATTGAAGCCACAATTGAACCCAGCATGGTACGCTCGCGGGAATGTCAGGACAAATTCGCCCTCACGCTGAACACAACGATATGCTTGAACTCCTTCAGATTTTAGCAGTGATGGTGAAAATTGAGTAACCTGCATGAGAAGTTGCAATTGTCACTAAAAGATCACCTTACAAAAAGCAAAGGATACCTAGGACTAGGAGGGACTAGGTACCGGACTTTAAAGTAGTGAGGGTTCTAACACGAGCTGGCTAGACAACTATGTGTGGTGCTGCCTAAGCCCCTAGATGACTTCTCAAGAAACTACCTTACATACATGTTCTGTTAAGGTGTTACCATGTTTTAGTTTTTTATTACAGAAGGAACAAATGGAAAGCTGAAAGTAGTGAGGGTTCTGACATGAGCTGGCTAGCAAACTATCTGTGGTGCTGCCTAAGCCCCTAGATGACTTCTTAAGAAACAACCTTACATGCATGTTCTGCTAATGCGTTAGCATGTTTAGTGTTTTACACGAGGAACAAATGGAAGGCAGAACCAGAGATTCCAGAGAAGCATGTAAAAATTCCTCGACATAGGTAGTGATAGCAACTTTGAAACATAGTCAGAAAAGGATGGATAAAATATGGATCAAAAACCTTTTTGTACATCACAGAAAAAATATTAAACTAATAATTGCCAGTCAAGAGAAAACACTCACCAGGTTGTGAAGCAAATCAGGTTGCTCCTCAAACAAGTCAGGTAGATGCTTCCTCATTGCAGACTCCAGATTCACAGCATCCTTTCCTGGAACTCCATACCACATCTTTGGGGCACCCCAATGCAAGTAGTTTAGCGAGTATAAATGATGATCTTCGACATGCTGTTTAAAACGCAACATTGCAGAGTAGATCTCAGGGTACAATCATATAGAACCAGCATAGTCTAAACAACAAGCACAACTAGAATACAGTGATGAATTCACGATAAGCAAGCAACATCACAAGCTTCTTACCCAGCAGAATGATGAGAAACACATGCCAACATACACCCAAGGCACCAGAACACCAGAAATGTCACCACCCTCAAAAGAAAGAACTGAGCCTTGTAGTCGAGGCAAGTTGTTTAGATTCCAACCAGATTGTGCATACTTATCCTCAACATCTGATTTTGTCTCAGGAGGTAACTTTGGAAAGCCGCTGCCAAAAGACCCTGTCTCCAAATCAGCGCCATAGATCACCTGCATGAAAATACACCTTCCAATAAGTTAAGAAGCAAAACGCAGGGCAAATAGCTCTTAGAACACTTGAGCACTTAAAGCGGCTGAAATGCAAGTGCTGTGACTACGTAAGACTACATGCAATGATGCAAACCACAACACACAACTTAAGTTGGAACTCTGAATAGCCATAATCCATGACACATATATCTCACACTTATGATTTACAGCATGCAAATTTTCTGAAGTTCGAGTTGAGCAATGAACTGAAAAGAACATATGTGTGCTTTGGTAAACAAAATTCAATACCTCTATCTCTTCTGTGGGACTTTCAACTATACGCCAATACTCGCCTTCAATATCTTCCACTGATGGTGGTGAATTCATAGATGCATCTTTCTTGAAATACTGCTCGCTGAAGTAATCTGCATACTTCTGAAATTTCTGCAATGTGAGCTCTGGTCCAGGTTCAAATCCAAATCTCTTACTGTTTTCTTCTGGCTCTGAAAGCTTTCTCCGCTTCTTCATCATTCCACCTCTTGTGCTCTTTTTGGATGATGTACGGTTTTGAAGCTTGTCAACCTTTTGTACCCGTGTAGAGAATGTTGAGTTTTCCCACGTACTCTTCTCTTTAAGAAGGCACGGCGGCTTCCACGAAGGTGGTGGAACAATACGGCAAATCCCATATGGTTCTGCTGTTGGCCGTATGCTCTCAATATATTTAAGGGTGTCTTTGAATTCCTGATACACCAGAGGATATATCATAAGACTGGAGTATGCAGATAATAAATTTAGTAAAGCAACAGTACTGGATAAAGCATGATACAGCAGTTAGCAACAAGATGTAAAGTACCTCCTCAGTAGGATGAAAGACAGGAGCCTCATCAAGAACAGGTCTCCGTGCACCATCTGGATTCCAACTTGCAACAACCTGCATGATGTGATATCACATAAGCCAACAAATTCATGAAAGTAACACGGGAATTTGGCAGATGAATAAGGACCTTTTGACAGTCACTGCATGCCGCACATCCTCGAAAAACTCCTTTGGGTAACTGCTGTCTGCGTCTCACTAAACTTGTAGCCGCCTGCCAAAAGAATATTATGATACTGTGAGAACGCGTTAAAATCATAGCAAAATTCAGTTGATTGGGGAACAAGAGTTCTAAATAGAACATTGGCAAGTGCAACCTTTTCTACTACTTCGACATCGGAATCTTCGTCTGACATACTGTCAAAGCGGCTGTAGTCTACCGGAGGCCTGTTCCGCAGCGACTGCCTACACGTATGGCTCCCGGAAGTACTGCAGTGTGTGTCGTTCCGGCTCTGAGCTGAATGGGGCTGGCCTTCCAGGGATTCAGCATGTTTCTTCTCATTCTGAAACACTTGAGCAGGACTAGGATGAGCATCAGCAGGTTTGGCGTCCTTCTGGGTTCCTTGCAATGCATACGCAGCAAACGGCCCAAATCCAGGTGGCGGTCCAAACCCAGGTGGGACTGAGGGTTCAGGATCGTCGCCGAGCGAGGCGGTTATGCACTCTGTTCCCATCATCACTGCATGAGAAGAAATACACTTGAATCAGGACATATGTTATCTCAGAGGGATCACGAATGTTTGAGCTGACCATACAAACAATGCCCACCAGTAACAAACCAAGGCAATAACCACACAAGAACTCAGCAGCTTTTAATAAACTAAGCAAATCAGGGGTGGTGCACATCTATACGCTCGCATCAGGTTGCTGTTCAGCGATAAGCCCAGTCAAGCTCAAGCGTTGAACCAACCACAGCACCATCAAAAATCCATTAGCCATATCCAGCAATAAGCCATCAGAGTTGCAGCTGCTGGCCACAACCAGCATTGCCGGCGAGCAGAGAGGCATCGGGCTGTTAAGCCAGATTGGTCATTGAACATAGACCATAGCAACGCCATAACAACAACTAAATCTGAATCTATGGCTACTGATGGGTACAGAGAGAGATTCTGGGGCGTACTGCAAGCATGCATGGATTCAGACCATCAACAGGCTAGGCAGATTTACTTTCCACAGAGCAGTAGGAACAGGGTTAGTGTCTGGAGGAGGGATGGGATCTGCCCCCTTCCAATCCAATTCCAACAGAAACAATATAGTATATAAACATGAAGCAAAGCTAGAGCATCCTGGAATCGAACAAACCCTAGGGGAATCACCCGGATGGAGCAGTACCTACCGGATTCGTCCGGAAGGCACCCCGATCCACCCCCCTTCAATCCAGATCGGGGGGCTGTCCGGCCCGATTCGCCGAGAGACTCCGGCAAATCCGGACCGGGGCAGGGGGCCGCCGGTCGGCGTGGTGGGCGGGTCGGCTCGGCGCGCTGTGGAGGCGGGGCGAGGCGGCGTGGGGTGGAGACAGGGGGCGGGGGATGGGGGATGAGGTCGGTAGTTGACAGGTGAGGGGTGGTTCTCCCTGCCTTACCTCAACTCTGTCCGAAAAAGGATAATACGTGGGTATATACCACCACCATGGAACCTCGAGCGAGCGAGGTCCAAGAAATTTCCATGGCGGATTCCAGCAACAAATCTACGCGCGGCACATGCCAGATCTACAGCAGATAATCCCTAATCCAGCCATGGAAAAATAATAACCGTAATAATAAATAAAATATGCATGCATAAAAGCAAAAGGGGAAGATCCACCCCCAAATCCACCCAAGAAACTACTGAGATTAAGCAGCAGGACAAGTATGGGGTGGGTCGATTTACCTACCAGCTCGTTCTTGCTGTCTGTCAGGCCGGGTTCAATGGCTCGTTCTTAGGTTTTGGGCTGGCACCAGATCGACCGATGAGGATGATGGTGCCGAGTCCGGGGAGGAAACCCACCCCGGAGCAGAGTAGTTGTAATCAATTACCAGTTGTTGTTAGTTTTGTTGTGTTCTTTGCTTCGGTTCGGTTTGCTTTGCTTTGCTTTCCCCAGCCACAAATCCGGACCCCCTTTGCTTTGCTTTGCTTTGCTTTGCTTAGCTTGCTTGCTTGCTTGTTGTATGCTTGTTCCTCTGGGAGATAGGGGGAGAGGGGGGTCATTTATGGCAACAGAGAGGGGCTATCCTCTCCTCCCCCCTTGGTGGATTCCACCCGCACAGCCCACAGGAAAGCCCACAGAAACAGAGACAAGTAGGGTTAGGCATTGTTCTTTAAAAACAAAGTAAGGATGGGCATTGTCCTGTATAAAAAATGTAGGGTTGGGCATGAGTTGTGGTTGAGACCAGAACTCGACATGGATAGCCCGGCCCGTTGACCTGGGCTGGGTCGGTCTTCACATTTGGGCTGGGCTTTTACGTCTCATTTTTTAGCCTGCAAAGGTGGTTTGGGGTCGGGCTTGTGCTTCTCTTTTTCGTGATTTCGGGGGTCGTGCTTACACGCGAAGGCACCGGAGAGCGTTGTTCTAGCCAGGCTTTCTGACTCCGGGCTTGTGTCCGGGCCGACCTCGGTCTCGAAAAAGGAGTGGCTTTTGGGCTTGGGTCGAGATCGGGCTTGGGTTTGAAGGTCGGTCTTTTGCAACCCCAACCTGATACCCGGTCGGACCAATGAAAAGGTTTAATTTTGATTGTAATTCTAATTTGAGTTAGCCGTGCAAAACCACAAATACTCCTGATAGGGCTTTTCACGTAACCACATGTTTTTGAAATAAATTCACAAAATCACGGGTTCTTGCCTACTTTCTCATAGAGAACTCGAATCAACCGCTGCGTTTGCCACACGGCTAGATCGACATGGTCAGTTGACTGCCGCATCAGTTTGCTTCTCCTTGCTCCTCCTATATCTCTTTTATTGTTCATGTGGACAAATGTCGTCTAGGTATAATTGCCGACGGTTGGGCTCCTGTCGTTCTAACTAGCTTCCTAGAACGCTTCCTAGACCATTCGTTGTCCTCCCTGCCTTTCTTCACTGTCACAAGTAGGGTTGGGCATTGCTCTGAGAAAAGGTAGGGTTGAGCATTGTTCTGAAAAGGTAGTTTGGGTCGGGCTTACATGTGGATGCATCAAAAAATTCATAAAATCATAGGCTTTTGACTAATTTTTCAGAGAGAGCTAGAACCAATGGTGTTGTTGGTCTTAACGACGAAGCTGGCATGTTGGACCCATTTTGCCACTCGGGGCAGGTCAATGTGGTCAATTAACCGCCGCATGGCCGGCACCGGTTTCTTCTCCTTCCTCCTCATATATCTTACAATGTCATCGGGGTACACCAGCCGACACTGGCGGAGCTACAGCCAAGCAAAACTATGCTATGGCCCGCCCATGTTTAGTGGAAATACACTAGGACATGAGAGCAAATGAGGCATGGAATTAAAATAATTAGACTTCTCTTCAATTTGGCCCGCCCAGGTTTCTAAGTGTAGCTCCGCCACTGCCAGCCGACACTTGGCGTCCAACGTCAGGTTGCGAGTAAACTCAATGGCTAACATCGACTTCATCTCCCAGTTCGGCAAGACATAGCAATCTTGGGGGTTGTAGGCGACGTTGAGGGATACGAGGAGCATCATCCTTGGATATGCATGTTCATCGAAGAGAGTGACGTGCTACCACCAATAATCTCACGTCATGGAAGACGACAAGGATTCAATGGGATAACTTCAGGAAGGGGCGGGCTTGTGTTCGGTGGCATCGACGAATAATATCGATGGGCAGAGCTAAGCTTGTCTACGACCATATTTGATGTACACATAAGCAGATCAAAGTAATGGTCAAAGTCGTTTGAAAATTCATAACAAATTTATCTGAACTCAAGAAAATGCAAATAACATACCAGAATGTTCAGAAAACATCACTCATATCTGCATCTCATTTTTATTCATGAAAAAAGTATTGTGTATGTTTTTTATGTTTAATAATGTTAAAAAAAGTAATAACCTCGGGTAGTTTAACCAGTACTTTTTCTTGAATGCAAATGACATGCACATAAGGGTAATGTTTTTCTATTTTTTTCTTTCTTTTTTCGAAAAAGTGTAATGTTTTTCTAAACAATTTAATATCTTATCTGCATTTTTATGAGTCCATATGAATTTGCTATGAATTTTCAAAGTATTGGTCAAATGGTTAAAGGGCACTTCGATATTTTTTCGTAAATTAGTCAATGTTTATAAATTTTGACTTAAGACAAAGGCAATATGGGTAAATAAAAACGATGGGTACATCCTTTATAGCTAGGACTGATACTGGACCCACTCACCTGCACATTAATTGTTCAGTTTTTTTAGCAACCATTAATTATTATTCAGTTTTTTTAGCAACCATTAACTATTCATTTAAATGGCGTGAGCTAAGGTACAATTAGGGGTGGGCCCATGGGGAAGGCTTATATTAACTATCGGCTGAGAAACGTGTGGACACGCCGAGGGGAAAAAAGGGGAATGTGGCGTGGACCTTTTAGTTGATTTTTAAGGGTTTGCTTTGTTAAACTTACAATTTCTAAAATTTGGTCCTACACTACTTTTGCACGTGATTTCTAAATTCTAAACTTAGTTAAAATGATGTGCGCCTGAGTTTGCACGTGTACACTTTTTTTACCAGGCATACTACTGTTCATTGACGGGCTCTATCCGTGTACAACAATGTCGATGCTTTGGGCCAAATAGGCATTAAACGAGAACACATGAGCCCATTCAATGTTTCTCAAAAAAAGAAACATGAGCCTATTCAGGACCTGTTTGTTTTCAATAAGTCGCCTGACTTATAAGTCAGGTGACTTAAAACCAGTGACTTATAAGTCACGTCTTTTTGGTTGTCACCTGACTTATAAGTCACCTGACACATCATCCCCCACCAATCCACATCATGCAGGTGGTGAGACCCACGCAAAAAGGGGTGACTTATAAGTTTTAAGTTGGGGTGGAGCAACTCATGACTTATAAATTGGGATGACTTATAAGTCGGGTCTGTTTGGCAAAATAAGTCGTTTTTTTCACTTTTCAACTTATAAGTTGGTGACTTATTTGTAACCAAACAGGCCCTCAAAATCGACACGAACTATTCCTTTCTTCAGGCTGCCACACCACCCACTTTCCCTCCGCTCAAAAAAAAACCCACCAACTTCCCCTCTCTTTTTTTCCATTTTCTTTCATTACTACATTCCCCCACTTCTTAACTAGTTGAAGAATTTCAGCTAAGAAAATAGTCTATGTGGACATTTTAGAATCATTCCATACTAGAGATTTTATGTTCTTAATGGAGCCTCTAAATTATAGCATGATTCCAGTGTTGTGTACTTATATTTGATGAGATCTTATAATTAAGTTTTGAAGACTTCTTTCCTACACTAAATTTTCATGCTAGTTCCTGTTGCATTCTATGCTATTTTTTTTATCCGCAAAATAAAAGTATGCTGGTTTCTTAATGCATTTTTATATTAAACTTTCAATAGGGAGTATACTGCATTTTTTCTAGTTTTCTTAGGCAATCTAGTGCGTTTTTGGGCTGGCTCTACCACACTACTCCATTTTTCAAAGAGAGTCTACCGCATATTTGGATGGGCTCTAACTAAAATGCTTTACTTTGAGTGGAAAACATGGAAC